TCTGTGTTCCCTCCTTTTGCTTAGAGCCCCCCTTTAGGTCTTGGTCCTCCCCTCCCCAGTGTGGGGCCACAGCTCACTCTGGCATATGGGTGCCCTTCCCCACAGATCATCCAGCTGACCCCGGTGCCTGTGAGCACACCCAGCGGCCTGGTGCCGCCCCTGAGCCCAGCCACACTCCCTGGACCCACCTCACAGCCCCAGAAGGTCCTGCTGCCCTCTTCCACCAGGTAATTGCAGCTGAGCCCACAAAAGGCCAGGGAAGGGGTAGGGCAGGGCTGGCTTACCTCACTCCTCCCTGTTTCCTCTCCCTGTGGCAGAATCACGTATGTGCAGTCAGCGGGCGGGCACGCGCTGCCCCTGGGTACCAGCCCTGCGTCCAGCCAGGCTGGAACAGTCACCTCGTATGGGCCCACGAGCTCTGTGGCTCTAGGCTTCACCTCGTTGGGGCCCAGCGGCCCCACCTTTGTGCAGCCCCTGCTCTCAGGTGAGGGGCAGTGTGGCAGGCAGTGCTGGGGATCCAGGGTGGGGCTGAGGCAGTCTGGGCCCTAACTTGGTCCCCTGCTTCTCCTTCTCTCTCAGCAGGCCAAGCCCCACTGCTGGCTCCCGGTCAGGTGGGCATGTCGCCTGTGCCCAGTCCCCAGCTGCCACCTGCCTGTGCAGCCCCCGGAGGTCCTGTCATCACGGCGTTTTACTCTGGCAGCCCTGCACCCACCTCCTCAGCACCCCTGGCCCAGCCATCCCAGGCCCCCCCAAGCCTGGTCTACACTGTAGCCACCAGCACAACTCCACCTGCAGCCACCATTCTGCCCAAGGGGCCGCCAGCCCCTGCCACTGCCACCCCGGCCCCAACTAGCCCTTTCCCGAGTGCCACAGGTAGGTGTCAGATCAACTCACAGCAGGGTAAGTTGGGGGGCCCAGCAGATGGGCTCCAGTCAGGCCTGGCTCAGCAAATGCTTTTCTCCCCACTAGCAGGTTCCATGACCTACAGCTTAGTGGCTCCCAAAGCCCAGCGGCCCAGCCCGAAGGCCCCCCAGAAAGTGAAGGCAGCCATTGCCAGCATTCCTGTGGGGTCTTTTGAGGCAGGTGCCTCTGGGCGGCCTGGCCCTGCACCCCGGCAGCCTCTGGAGCCTGGCCCAGTCCGAGAGCCAACTGCCCCAGAGTCTGAGCTTGAGGGGCAGCCCACACCACCAGCCCCTCCACCCCCGCCGGAGACCTGGACTCCCACGGCCCGGAGCAGCCCTCCACCTCCCCTACCTGCTGAGGAGCGGACCAGCGCCAAGGGTCCTGAAACCATGGTGAGCACCTGCAGGCTGTGGGGTCCCCACTGGCACTCAGCTGTGCCCCTCCATGGGTGTCTTTAGTTTTCTGTCCTGCTCCTCTTCCCTCCATGCCTATGTGTTTCTCAGGTTAAAGGGTCCCCTCTGTCCCTTCTGCCTGCCTGTATTGGCTCCCCTCTGATCTGAGGCCCTGTCTTGGCCTTCTCAAGGGGTCTGCTGGTCAGTTTCAGATTCAACTCTTTGTTTCTGGCCTTTGCCCCAGCGTCTGAGCCCTGTGTTCTCCATCTCCCTACCCATCTCCACCCCAGGCCAGCAAATTCCCCAGCTCATCTTCAGATTGGCGTGTCCCTGGGCAGGGCCTGGAGAGTCGTGGGGAGCCTCCCACCCCTCCCAGCCCAGCTCCAGCTCCAGCCGTAGCTCCTGGTGGCAGCAGCGAGGGCACTGGTGGGCGGGCAGCTGGGGACACCCCCGAGCGCAAGGAGGCAGCTAGTACTGGCAAGAAGGTCAAGGTGCGGCCCCCGCCCCTGAAGAAGACCTTTGACTCTGTGGACAAGTGAGCATGGGCTGGGGCCTTGGTGAGGTGTGTGGGGTGGTGGGAGTGGGAGCACCTGCAGGCTGAGGCGGGGGAGGTGACCCTGCTTGCCCTCCAGCAGGGTCTTGTCAGAAGTGGACTTTGAAGAGCGCTTTGCAGAGCTGCCTGAGTTTCGGCCTGAGGAGGTGCTGCCCTCCCCTACCCTGCAGTCTCTGGCCACCTCACCCCGGGCCATCCTGGGCTCTTACCGCAAGAAGAGGAAGAATTCCACGGGTAGGCGAGCGTTGGGCATCCAGGGTCTGTAGGTGGAGGGCAGACTGGGGCCACCTGCACTGAGCCTGCTTCTGTTTGGCCAGACCTGGATTCAGCACCTGAGGACCCCACCTCGCCCAAGCGCAAGATGAGGAGACGCTCCAGCTGCAGCTCGGAGCCCAACACCCCCAAGAGTGCCAAGTGCGAGGGGGACATCTTCACCTTCGACCGTACAGGTGCCGTGGTGGGCAAAGCTGTGGGGTGCCCAGAGCCTGCAAGAGGAGGAGGGTCTCTGGAAGGCAGTTAGAGAGAGAGGTGGGTTGGGTGTCAGAAGCAGGATAGCAGGTCAGGGTTCTGGAGTCTGGCAGGTCCCCGAGTTGCCCTTTGACTGTGGGCGGGACCCCTCTCTAACTACTCTGTGAAACAATGCAGTGAGGGCTCAGGTGGGCACTCAGATGGTGGCAGTACTGCTGTAGCCTTGCCATGCTGCCTGTGCCTGCCCAGGTACAGAAGCTGAGGACGTGCTGGGGGAGCTGGAGTATGAGAAGGTGCCGTACTCTTCCTTGCGGCGCACCCTGGACCAGCGCCGGGCCCTGGTCATGCAGCTCTTCCAGGACCATGGCTTCTTCCCATCAGGTGAGCGTGTCTTAGAGTCTTGAGGTCACTCGGGGGGGGACCTGTCTGCACATCTCACCCTGCACTCCCCATCGTTTTTCTGCCTCCAGCCCAGGCCACAGCCGCCTTCCAAGCCCGCTATGCAGACATCTTCCCCTCCAAGGTTTGTCTGCAGTTGAAGATCCGTGAGGTGCGCCAGAAGATCATGCAGGCAGCCACTCCCACGGAGCAGCCCCCTGGAGCTGAGGCCCCCCTCCCTGGACCGCCCCCCACTGGCACCACTGCTGCCCCTGCCCCCACTCCCAGCCCTGCTGGAGGCCCTGACCCCACCTCGCCCAGCTCGGACTCTGGCACGGCCCAGGCTGCCCCGCCACTGCCTCCGCCACCAGAGTCAGGGCCTGGCCAGCCTGGCTGGGAGGGGGCTCCACAGCCCTCCCCCCCACCCCCAGGTCCCTCCACAGCTGCCACAGGCAGGTGAGAGACCCCTGAGAGGATCCCAGGACTCACAGTACCCCCTCAGGACATGGACAGTATATGGGGGCAGGAATGGGGGGCAGAATGGTTATCTCCTCCCAGGTAAAGCCATTTCGTCCTCTCTGGTTTGGGGCGGAATGAGGCCTGCTCTTCTTGTATATACCCCCTTCCCCCGCAGCTCCCTCCCAATGCTGGGGGGCAGCTGAGGGGGCCGCAGGGGCAGTCTCCCTCCTTTGAGCCCCTGTACATAACCTGGAGTGTGTGACCTTCAGAGCTTTTCACTTTATGCAAAATGGCTCCTGTGAGGGCTGCAAGCTGGAGGGTGGTGCAGGCCTTGGGCCACAGGGAGGCGCCTGTGGAATAGGGGGGAGTTCATGCACCCCTTTTTTCCCCAGAGGGGCTGGACTCAGGTTAGTTTGGGGGTGGGGGCTCCTGCACTTTGCCACAGGCACGGGGAGGGTTTTCTCCTCACCCCCTCTGCCCTCCCAACTTGGGTTGTACTTTCTAAGAAGGTGATTCCCCCTGCCTTTGCCCCCTTTCCCAGAACAAAACATGTTGATCATGTGCAATATTTCTTACTGTGCCGAGAAGCCGCGATGAGCGAGATTAAAGCTGTTTAACACACCTGTGTGGCTTTTGGCTCTTAACGGGTAGGGCTGTTGGTTGTACTGGTCGTCCTTAGTTGTCATGGAGCTGTAGACTTTCCATGAGGTTGGGGGAGTAATTCCAGGACCACTTCCTCCAACATCAGAGGGACCCCACGGGCCAGGTCCCTGACTTGTGGACCAGGCAGCCCCTCTTCTCTTTTAGGAGTCCGTGTGCTCAGGGAGCCTCAATGCTTTTGGGCCCTGTTCTCAGCCATTGGACTGCATGAGCTTGGGAAGGCCTGAGGCAAGATGCCACCAGATGGTTTACCCTCATTGTCTCTGGTGTCATTTGTATTCAGGAAACGGGCCCCAAAAGGTCCTAGTCCAGAGGTGGCAGTGGGTGGGAGGAGACAAGGGTCCTCCATGTGACCCCTGCTGCCCCCATGTGGCCTGGGTCAGCACTGCAATGGCTTGAAGCAGCCTCTCCTGGGTGACACCCCTCCCACTCAGCATGTGGACATAGTGCCCACCTGAGGTGACAGATACCCACACTGTGTGGAGGGATGACAACTAAGGGTGGGAGGGTCAGGATACCTCCGCAGAAGTGGCATCTAAGCTACAGCTGGAGCACCAGGAATTTCCAGTTGGGGTAACAATATATGCAGAGATGGAGGAGGGGCAGGGTAGGGTGGGCTTCACTGTACTGTGTCACTATGTTCTCAGAATTCTTGCTTGACCTTGGTCCTATAGGGTAGTGCTGGCAGGCTGGTCTTGCCTAGTGTTGACTGATTGGTAACATCTGCCTGAAACATTCTATTGTAATAGTGAAAATTAACCTAACCACAAGAACAGTGTCTTGGATGTATCAGTGACGCCTGCCCTGGGCAGAAATAGAACCACAGCCAGGCACAGTGGCTCATGTCTGTAATCCTAGCACTCTGGGAGGCCGAGGCGGGTGGATTGCTTCAGCTCAGGAGTCAGACCAGCTTGGGCAACAGGGCAAAATGCCATCTCTCCAAAAAAATACAACCAGCTGGATGCAGTGGCACACACCTGTAGTCCAGGTATTCAGGAGGCTGAGGTGGGTGGATCGCTTGAGCCTAGGAGGTTAAGGCTGCAGTGGGCCCTGGTCTCACCACTGTACTCCAGCCTGGGTGACAGAGACCTTTAAAATAACACCTTGCAGTATTGCAGGGTCACAGATTGGGGTAAGGACTAGTGGTGGTACCCAGACAGGCTCGACCATAAAGCAGGAAACGGCAGACCGAGGAAGGAGAGTTTAATGTGGGAAGGCAGCAGGATGCTTACGGTGCGGGCTCTGGCAGGGGAGCACCTTGGCCCTGGTCTTGGGCCAGCAGACGCAGAAGCAGGGAGTGCAGGGTCCGGCAGACAGGTGTGTAGCCCAGGCGGCTGAGATGCAGGTAATCATACATGTCATGGTGGCTGATGGTACCATCTGAGTGCACAAAGCCAGGGTCAGCATCTAAGAAGTGGGCCCGAGGGTGGCCAGCCAGTGCTGCCCGTACCAGCTCATTCACCCGTCGGTTCTTCTCCCGAAGTGGGTTGGGATGCTGGCCTCGTGGAAGCAGGCCCTGAGCAGGAACACCAGGAGTAGTAAGGAAATGAGCATTTGGGTATCCTGTTTTCTGTGCCAACCTGTCCTCTACCCCAAACCATTAAGTTTCCAGCTGTAGCAAACACTAAGGATAGGCAAGTGGGTAGGGTGGAAGGGTAGTTCCTAAATATCATATCCTAGCGCCAATTCAGCAAGAGACTTCTGGGTTTAGCCTCGGAAAGAGCCTTGGAAAAAGTATCACTTAAAAAAACGTTGACACTGGCTGGGTACAGTGGCTTCTGCCTGTAATCCCAGCATGATGGGAGGCAGAGCTGGATGGATCACTTGAGCCCAGGAGTTCTAGACCAACCTGGGCAACATGGTGAAATCCCATCCGTAACAAAAATATACAAAAATTAGCTAGACATGATAGCGTGTACCTGTAGTCATAGTTACTTGGAAGGCAGAGGTGGGAGATCACTTGAGCCTTGGAAACAGAGGTTGTAATGAGCTGAGATCATGCCACTGCACTCCAGCCTGCATAACAGCCAGATCCTGTCTCAAATAAATAAATAGGCCAGGAGTAGTGGCTCATGCCTGTAATCCCAGCACTTTGAGAGGCCGAGGCAGGTGGATCACATGAGGTCAGGAGTTTGACCAGCCTGGCCAACATGGTAAACTCTCATCTTTACTAAAACTACAAAGATCAGCCAGGTATAGTGGAGCGTCCCTGCAGTCCCCGCTACTCAGGAGGCTGAGGCAGGAATCACTTGAATCCAGGAGGCGGCGGTTGCAGTGAGCCAAGATCACACCACTACACTCTCCTCTGGGCAAAAGAGCAAGATTGTCTCAAAAAAATAAAAAATAAAATATCAACATCATGACTCATGGCAAGGGGTCAATCCCCTCTTTCAGAAGAGGAAGTGTCCTAGCTACCTACAAGTGATGGAGCCTAGATTTACCCCAGGAATGCCTGACAACTTTTGACATACTCAAAGAGGTTTTGGAGGATTTTTCTTTTGTTTTCTGGTGAGACAGGGTCTCACTCTGTCACCCAGGCTGGAGTACAGTGGCATAATCACAGTTGACTGTAACACTGAATTCCTAGGCTCAAGTATGATCCTCCCCCTTTATCCTCCCAAGTATCTGGGATTACACGTTTTTTGAACCATAATGGCCAGCTAATTTTTTTTTTTTTTTTAGACACTTTCACTCTTGTTGTCTAAGCTGGAGTGCAATGGCTCTATCTTGGCTCACTGCAACCTCTGCCTCCCAGGTTCAAGTGATTCTCCTACCTTAGCCTCCCAAGGAGCTGGGATTACAGGCATGTGCCACCACACCTGGCTTATTTTGTATCTTTAGTAGAGACAGGGTTTTTCCATGTTGGCCAGGTTGATCTTCAACTCCTGACCTCAGGTGATCTGACTGCCTTGGCATCCCAAAGTGCTGTGATTACAGGCGCCTGCCACCACGCCTGGCTAATTTTTGTATTTTTAGTAGAGACGGGATTTCAACATCTTGGCCAGACTGGTCTTGAACTCCTGACCTCATAATCCACCCGCTTCGGCCTCCCAAAGTGCTGGGATTACAGGCTTGAGCCATCATGCCCGGCCTGCCCAGCTAATTTTTAACTATTTTTAGTAGAGACAATGTCTTGCTGTATCCCAGGCTGGTCCTGAACTCCTGAGATCAAGCAATCCTCCCACCTTAGCCTCTCAAAGTGCTGGGAGTATAGGCATGAGCCACCATGCCCAACCATTTTGGGGTCTGTCTTTTTTTTTGAGATGGAGTCTCTCTGTGTTGCCCAGGCTGGAGTGCAGTGGCATGACCTTGGTTCACTGCAGCCTCTGCCTCCTGTGTTCAAGCAATTCTCCTGTCTTAGCCTCCCAAGTAGCTGGGATTTCAGGCGAGTGCCAGCATGCCCAACTAATCTTTTTTTTTTTTTTTTTTTTTTTTTTTGAGACGGAGTTTCGCTCTTGTTACCCAGGCTGGAGTGCAATGGCACGATCTCGGCTCACCGCAACCTCCGCCTCCTGGGTTCAGGCAATTCTCCTGCCTCAGCCTCCTGAGTAGCTCGGATTACAGGCACGCGCCACCATGCCCAGCTAATTTTTTGTATTTTTAGTAGAGACGGGGTTTCACCATGTTGACCAGGATGGTCTCGATCTCTCGACCTCGTGATCCACCTGCCTCGGCCTCCCAAAGTGCTGGGATTACAGGCTTGAGCCACCGCACCTGGCATCTTTTTTTTTTTTTTGAGATGTGGTCTGGCTCTGTCACCAAGCTGGAGCACACTGGCGTGATCTTGGCTCATTGCAATCTCTGCCTCCCAAATTCAAGCAATTCACCTCCCTCAGCCTCCCAAGTAGCTGGGACTACAGGAACACAGCATCGCACCCAGCTAATTTTTTGTATTTTAGTAGAGGGGAGTTTCACCATGTTAGCCAGATGGTCTTGATCTCCTGACCCTGTGACCCACCCGCCTTGGCCTCCCAAAGTGCTGGGATTACAGGCATGAGCCACCGCGGCCAACCATTTTTGAGACCCCCAAGGTCTCACGTCATCCCTGGGCAAAAAAAGGGTAACTGGAGCTGGGTGTGGCATGTACCTGTAGTACCAGCTACTTGGAAGGCTGAGGCAGAAGAATCACTTAAACCCAGAACGCAGAGGTTGCAGTGAGCCGAGACTGTGCCACTGCACTCCAGCCTGGAGACAAAGCGAGACTCCGTCTCAAAAAAAAAAAAAAAAAAAAAGCTAATTGCTCTCTCAGCACATTCTCAACCACAGCCACTCTGAAGGGTGTAGCAAGCTCCAACGTGAGATTCTGCCTGAAAGCCACTGCTCTATGCCAACTTGCCTAGAACTGTGCCAACTGTGGCTATATCGGAGGGGGTCCCAGACCACTGCCATTCTTCCTTTCCCACCCTCACAGCCGCTCACCAGCACCACGACCCGGGCCTGTGGCTGCCGCTCATTCACCAGCTGCACAATGGCCTTGATGCCACCAGTCACCTGCTCTGCTGTGTGTCCGTGGTTGTTGGTGCCCACCCAGACCACCACAATCTGTGGAAAGAAAGACATGAAGCGGCGGTGAAGGGGCAGGCAAAAGACGTTTTAGAGCCCCAGCCAAGCCCCGCTCACCTTGGGCCGGATGTGTTCCAGCTCCCCATTCTCCAGTCGCCACAGTACATGCTGTGTGCTGTCGCCACCGATGCCAAAGTTAAGTGCATGCAGAGGAGAGAAGAGCTCCCGCCAGATCTGTGGGTAAGAAGTGGTATGGGCACAGGGGCACTGTTAACAAGTGTTAACCAAATGCCATATGGAAGAACCTTACTTCATGGAAGCAGTCTTTTAAAATTTCACCTGGAGCATACTCCAGCATGGCTGAACCTCACTTTATAGAAATTAAGGCCGGTCAAGGTGTTTCATGCTATAATCCCAGCACTTTGGGAGGCCGAGGTGGGTAGATCACGATGTAAGGAGATAGAGACCATCCTGGCTAATACAGTAAAACCTCGTCTCTACTAAAAATACAAAAAAAAATTAGCCGGGTATAGTGGCGCATGCCTATAGTCCCAGCTACTCTGGAGGCTGAGGCAGGAGAAATCACTTGAACCCAGGAGGTGGAGGTTGCAGTGAGCAGAGAACGTGCCACTGCACTCCAGCCTGGGCAACAGAGCAAGACTCCATCTCAAAAAAAAAAAAAAAAAAAAAATATCAATTAAGAGTCTCTATCACTTTATTTTTATTTATTTATTTTTTATTTCATTTATAAAAATCTAAAAATCAAGAGTCTTGAGACAAGAGTCTGTTGCCCAGGCTGAAGTGCAGTGACGCGATCTTGGCATACTTCAACCTCTGCCTCCCAGGTTCAAGTGATTCTCCTGCCTCAGCCTCCTGAGTAGCTGGGACTATACTCATGTGCCATTATGCCCAGCTAATTTAGTATTTTTAGTAAAGACGTGGTTTCACCATGCTGGCTAGGCTGGTCTCGAATTCCTGACCTCAGGTGACCCACCTGCCTTGGCTTTCCAAAGTGCTGGGATTACAGGCGTGAGTGATCACACCTGGCCTAGAGTTGTGCTTGAGCCCAGGAGTTCAAGACCAAACTGGGCAACACGGCAAAACCCAGTCTCTACAAAAATTAGCTGGGTATGTAGAGTTGTGCACCTGTAGTCCCAGCTACTTGGGAAGCTGAGGTGGGAGGATCGCTTGAACCCAGGAGGTAGAGTTTGCAGGGAACAGAGATCATACCACTGCATGCCAGCCTGGGCGACAAAAGTGAAACTCCGTCTCAAAAAATAAATAAATAGGTAACAAAGCAAGAAGACCCTGTCTCAAAAACCAACCAACCAACAAACAAACAAACAAAAAAACAAATCAAGCCCCATAGAAGCAAGACTCACTTTATGAAAATCCAGTCGGCTTGAGTCATGCATTGAACCAATGGCACTGCAGCTGAAACTTATTTTGAGGAAAGCTATTGCAGTTGAACATGCTTAGTGGAAAGATATTACTATGATTGATCCCTCTTTGTGGAGTGCCATTAGAATTGACCTTCACTTCCTGTAAAGTGACCATAGCTTTGTGTAATCCCAAGAGGGCTGTGCACTACTTAAAGCAAACAAGAAAGAGCCTCACTTCAGGCAAGACTATGGCAGGAAAGCCTCATTCCAGGTTTTAGTACATTATACACAAATCAAATCTGATAAAACTAAGGCATACATTTGCTTCTCACCAAGACTCTCGGAGCCTCTGGCTACCTCAAGTCAATGTGGGTACCCCCACAATACCTACCCCACCTGGCCTGGGTTCTGGTCCAGATGTATCAGCATGGGCACAGGGCCGGATAGGGCAGGGGGAGAGAGATGGGCCTCACCTCGCACTGGTGCATTAGCTGGACCAAGGAGTCCCCGATGAAGACGACTTCGGGTTCCTTATCTTTGCTGTCAGCGACGAAGCGATGGTGCTGCGAGAACGCGCAAGAGGGAGTCAGTGGCCGCACGTTCCAGGGCCCGCCCCTCCCTGCCCTTAGGCAGCACCGCCCCAACTGCCCTCAGTTTCCCAATCAGGTAGTGACAGTGGCAGGAACCAGCTGTTCTCTTGCGTGCCCCTCCGCCGCGCCCCGGACTCCTCAATATCCCAAGTGGGAACGCTCACCAGGGACATCCAGCGCCCGTCGCCCTGCACGTCCTGCATCGGCGTGGGCTTGCTGGCTGGGTTCTCCTCTCCGCTCATCTTGGCGCCGCAGCTCCTGCAGGATGAGCGAGTGGGGTCGATCCGGGAGTGTTCCGGGACCCAGCTGGCTCCGCCACGCCCACTCCTACCCTTCGAAGCAACAAAGGACCGTCCCAACGCTCGCACACCCGCGGAGGACGAAGGCCGATACAGGGCGCCGCCTCCTCTCCAGGGACGGAAACCTTCACTTAGGAGGGAGGCGGAATCGGCAACCTCGCTTCCCCCACGACGGGCGCACAGTGGGCTCGTCCGGCGTTTCCCGCTCGGCCGCTGACTCCTAGGCAGCGCACCCGGCACGGGCTGGTGGGACAGAGAGGCGAGACCATCCAGCTCCCAAAACGGGGAGGAGGGAAAAACCACCCACCGGTCACGAGGAGGGGCGAGCTACCTGAAGAGTCGAGAGTAGGCGGGGAAAACCTAGCCGTCTTTCTAGCAAATGGGAAGATACCATTTGCTGTAGAGAGTGAAATGTGCGGAAGGGACCACCTACTGTTTCGGGGGGGTGGTGGGTGGCCCATTCACTTGGTGGGGTGAGGGAAGCGAGTGGACGAGACCATTCTTGGTTCCCTTGAAGGGGTGGTTCGAATGCAGCTGTCTAGGAGGGGACGCTCCTATTTTCCACTGGTGTGGGGGACAGAAAAGGAAGATGGCAAAATGTGAAAATTCGAGGCTCCGTTCTAAGGAGGCACCCTAAGGCAGCGCTAGGTCTTTATTGAGCCTATCTCCTCGTGGGCTTCCCCTACTCACAACCCCGTGTGTGTGTGTGTGTGTGTGTGTGTGTGTGTGTGTGTGTTTGTGTTGAAATCTAAAGTACATATCCTCGCATTCAAGTCATCACAGGACCCCCTACTCAAAACACCGTGTGTGTGTGTGTGTGTGTGTGTGGGTGTGTGTGTGCGCGCGCGCGCGGCATAAAATATAAACTACGAATCTTTGCATTCGAGACACCATAGGACCTGCTTGGAGGGTAGAAGAAGATGCAGAAGGGGAAAGGAAATTAGAGACGCCAGCAGGGCTCAGGTCCAGTCTGGCGCCCTTCCCGCAGATCGTCTTGCAGATCTGCAGCCTCTACTCCCCTCTCTAAACCCACAGGCCGACCGGGTGTGTCTGTGCTCTGAAACCTAGATCCACGGCCAAGGCCATCTGGGGTCGCGCCTCTTCCCCTTCGCCGCCCCAAATTAATCTCAGACCTCAGTGTCTTCTCAGATCTTCCTCTTCTCTGGGACCAAGTCGAGGGTCTCCCAGCTAAACGTCCTGGTCATGTTCTTGTAGCCCCACTCCAGGTGGGACCTTGTCATTATGTATTCCTTCCAGGTGGATTGATGCTGAGACATAGAGATGAGTCTTACTCATTGTGTTTATGTTCTGTTTCAATTCACTTTTCTGGGACGGGGCCAGGCACACAGTGGTTCCACAAGCACTTGCTGAATGAATAATAAATGAGTGGGTCAGCTGCTGGCCTTGTCCCAGTGTGTTCAGGGAGATAGATCCACACACAGAAGTGTGGGGTGTCAAAGTTGTGTTTGAGGGAGAGACAGGGACTTCTGGGGAGGAAGAAGAGAAGGACTCTAAGGACTATGGGTTTCCTAGGAGTAGTATCTCTGCTGGATCTGAAAGATAATGAAGATTGAACAAGCAGAAAGAAAAGACACAGGTAACCACTTTCTTATTAGGGCCTGGGGAATATCATGGAATAGCTTGATTTTAAAGTCTGAGGAAGGCCGGCGAGGTGGCTCATGCCTGTAATTCCAACACTTTGGGAGGCGGACACGGGCAGATCACTTGAGGTCAACCAGCCTGGCCAACAGGGCAAAACTCTGTCTCTACTAAAAATAAAAATAAAAATAAATTAAAAATAGCTGGGTGTGGTGGCACAAGCGTGTTGTCCCAGCTACTTGGGAGGCTGAGGCAGGAGAATTACTTGAGTCCAGTAGGCAGAGGTTGCAGCGAGTCGAGATCGAGCCACTGCAGCCCAGCCTGGGTGACACAGCAAGACTCTGTCTTAATTACAAAAATAAATAAAGTCTGAGGGAGCCAGGTACAGGGATGCATGCCTGCAGTCCCAGCTACTGGGGAGCCTGAGGTGGGAGGATCGCTTGAGCCTAGGAGTTTGAGACCAGCCTAGGTAACATAGTGAGATCGTGTCTCAAAAAACAAAACAAAACAAAACAAAAGTCAGGCAAGCACCTGTAGTCCCAGTTTCTCGGGAAGCTGAGGCGGGAGGATTGCTTGAGCCTGGGAGATGAGGCAGCATTAGGCCACGACTGTGTCACTGCACTCCAGGTTGGGTGACAGAGTAGTCTCTGTCTCCAAAAAAAGGTCATAATCGGCTAGGTGCAGTGGCTAACTCCAGCAATCCCAGCACTTAGGGAGGCTGAGATGGGCAGATCACTTGAGGTTAGGAGTTCAAGACCAGCCTGACCAACATAGTGAAACCCTGTCTCTATTAAAAAATACAAAAATTAGCTGGGCATGGTGGTCTGCGCTTGTAGTCCCAGCTACCAGGGAGGCTGAGGCAGGAGAATCACTTAAACCCGGGAAGTGGAGGTTGCAGTTAGCCGAGATTGTGCCACTGCACTCCAGCCTGGGTGACAGGTTGAGTCCTCATCTTAAAAAAAGAAAAGAAAAAAGAAAGGAAAAGAAAAAGTCATAATTATGCCTTCACGTTAGTGGTATAATAAGAGGGAAAATTAATTTAAAAAATAAAGTCTGAGGGGACAAGTGTAGACAGATAAGTTGGAGTAGTTCCTGAAGCAAAGCTTAGTGAGAAACAAAGCTTCCAGGCATTCTTCATTCACCAGGCTCATTTCAAGTTAGACATATTGTTCTATTTTATCCTTCTAGCAAACAAATGAGGAAGGTAATATTATTACCAATCTCATTTTTACAGGTCAGAAAACTAAGTCTGACCAGTAACAAATATTTTCAAGGTCACACAGCCTAACTGTGACATTTTGGGCATTTAAATCAAGCCTAGCTATGAATCACACAACAGTATACTAATTTATTTCATTTTATTTTTTTTAAGATGGAGTCTTACTTTGTCGCCCAGGCTGGAGTGCAGTGGTGAAATCTAGGCTCACTGCAACCTCCACCTGAGGCAGGTTCAAGCAATTCTCCTGCCTCACCTTCCTGAGTCACTGGGATTATTAGTCGTGAGCCATTTTGCCTGGCCTAATTTTTTTTCCATTTTTTTTTTTTTTTTTTTTCTCAGACAGGATCTTGCCGTCTCCCTCAGGCTGGAGTGCAGGGGCGCAATCTTGGCTCACTGCAATCTTCGCCCTGGGTTCAAGTGATTCTTCTGGCTCAGCCTCCCGAGTAGCTGGGACTGCAGGTGCGCACTACCATGCCCGGCTAATTTTAGTAGAGACGGGGTTTCACCATATTGGTCAAGTTGGTCTTGAACTCCTGACCTCGTGATCCGCCTGTCTCAGCCTCCCAAAGTGCTGGGATTACAGGTGTGAGCCACTGCGCCTGGCCTACTAATTAATTTTTTGTAGTCAGGGTCTTCTATGTTGTCCAGGGTAGTCTTGAACTCTTGGGCTCAATCGAGCTTCCCGCCTCTGCCTCCCAAAGTGCTGGGATTACAGGAGCGAGCCACCACGTCCGGCCAACTATATAAATTTTCTAGGGATTATGTCTGTGGCTGCCTGGGGGATAGCTGTGCGTGGGGGCTGCTTAGACCCTTCTTGGCGCGCCTGGTCACAACTAGCCCTCGAGAGACCGCCAATAGCTATCTGAACCAATCAGTATTCAGGAAGGGGGCAGACCTAGTGAACCTCGCAGCCAATTGGTGGATGGGAGGCGCTAAGCCCAAGAAAGGGAGATTTCTGAAAGCGAGGCTGAGAGGGGCGGGGCTATAACTGGCACTTCCCCGGCACGCGCTTCTGAGCTTCCGTCCTCTCAGAGCCACGAAGCCAAAGGGTATGGAAACGGCACGCGCATGCGTGTGGGGTGCCCGAGGCCCGGAACAGCGCCAGGTGGCTTCGAGAGCTGGGGTCAAGGCAGAAAAGAAGCCATTGCGCCCCACAGCTACGTCGAGTGGGAAGAGCCGGGGTTTGCTGGGGCAGGAGAGGTGCCCTTCCCCTACCCTGGTTCCACCAACCGGACCCCCCTCCCTTCACTCTGTCCTCCTGCGCCCCCCACCCTACCGCCGCGCCCACCATGCTTCCTCAACTACCCTAGGCACTTCCTTTGTGACAAGGCCCTGGCTCTGATCGGGCCTGCCTCCCTTTCTGTTCTCTCGAGGTTTTCTCAGGCTTTCCGGACTTCTCTTGCTGCTTTCTCTCTCCTGCTTTTCTTTCTCTGCCATCTCTTTCCACTTTCTGCATTCCCGTGTACCTCTTCTACCCCTGGATTTCTCCGTCCAGAATCATTTTCTGGTCCCCCAAATCCCTCCAGTCTCATGACTCCTTCCCCACCCTCCATCTTTTCTTTTTTTTAGGACAGAGTTTCGTTCTGTCCCCCAGACAGGGATGGAGTACAATGGCGCGATCTTGGCTCACGCAACCTCTGCCTCCGGGTTCAAGTGATTCTCCTGCCTCAGCCTCCTGAGTAGCTGGGATTACAGGCATTCACCACCATGCCCGGCTAATTTTTGTATTTTTAGTAGAGGCGGGTTTCACCATATTGGGCAGGCTGGTCTCAAACACTTGACCTCAAATGATCCACCCACCTTGGCCTCCCAAAGTGCTGGGATTACAGGTGTGAGCCACTGCGCCCAGCCCCCACCCTCCATCTTTTTATTTTGTTTTGTTTTTTGAGACGGAGTTTCGCTCTTGTTACCCAGGCTGGAGTGCAATGGCGCGATCGGCTCACGGCAACCTCCGCCTCCTGGGTTCAGGCAATTCTCCTGCCTCAGCCTCCTGAGTAGCTGGGATTACAGGCACGTGCCACCATGCCCAGCTAATTTTTTGTATTTTTAGTAGAGATGGGGTTTCACCATGTTGACCAGAATGGTCTCAATCTCTTGACCTTGTGATCCACCCGCCTCGGCCTCCCAAAGTGCTGGGATTACAGGCTTGAGCCACCGCGCCTGGCCTCCATCTTTTAACTATTTTCCCATGTCCCTGTTCCGAATAGCTTTTCTGTATTCCCTGTCTTAGCTGCCCATTAACCGTGACTTCTTTGTCTCCATCCCACCCCTGTGATTCCCTGTCTGTCCAAACATTTCCCAGTCTATCTCTGTTCATTTCTTTTATCATCCTTTCTCTCTTTTAAGAGACAAGGTCTAACTGTTGCCCAGGCTGGAGCACAGTGGTGCAATCATAGCTCAGTGTAACCTCCAACTCCTAGGCTCAAGCAATCCTTTCACCTCAGCCTCCCTAATAGCTGGGAATACAGGTGTGAGCCACCGTATCCAGCTAATTTTCATTTGATTTCTTTTTTTTTTGAGACAGAGTCTCACTCTGTTGCCCAGGTTGGAGTGCAATGGCATGATCTCGGCTCACTGCAACCTCCGTTTCCTGGGTTCAAGTGATTCTCCTGCCTCAGCCTCCCAAGTAGCTGGGATTACAGGTGCACACCACCACACCTAGCTAATTTTTGTATTTTTAGTAGAGACGGGGTTTCACCATGTTGGCCAGGCTGGTCTCAAACTCCTGGCCCCAGGTGATCCACCGCCTTGGCCTCTCAAAGTGCTGGGATTACAGATGTGAGCTACTATACCCAGCTAATTTTATGCTGTAGAGACGAGGGTCTTGCTTTGCTGCTCAGGTTGGTCTTGAACTCCTGGCTTCAAGTGATACCCCCACATTGGCATCCCAAAGTGAGGATTATAGATGTTAGCCACCATTCCTGCCCTCATCTTATCACTCTAAATTGTATTTCCATCTCACCCCAAACCATCTCTTCTCCCTATTCACTTGTTTTTGTTTTTTGAGATGGAGTCTCACTCAGTTACCCAGACTGGAGTGCAGTGGTGCAGTCTTGATTCACTGCAACCTCTGCCTCCTAGGTTCAAGTGATTCTTCTGCCGCAGCCTCCTGAGTAGCTGGGATTACAGGTGTGCCCCACCATGCCAAGCCGATTTTTGTATTTTTAGTAAAGACAGATTTTGCCATGTTGGCTAGGCTGGTCTTGAACTCCCGACCTGAAGTGATCCACCCACCTTGGCCTGCTCAAGTGTTGTTATTACAGGCATGAGCAACTGCACCCGGCCCTCTGTATTCACGTTGCTACTCACCTTGACTTATCTGCATGCTGATGGCCACCCTATCTGTATCTGTACCTTTTTTTTTTTTTTTTTGAGACAGAGTTTCACTCTTGTTACCCAGGCTGGAGTGCAATGGCGTGATCTCGGCTCACTGCAACCTCTGTCTCCTGGGTTCGGGCAATTATCCTGCCTCAGCCTCCTGAGTAGCTGGGATTACAGGCATGCGCCACCATGCCCGAATAATTTTTGTATTTTTAGTAGAGACGGGGTTTCACCATGTTGACCAAGATGGTCTCCATCTCTTGACCTCATGATCCACCCGCCTCGGCCTCCCAAACTGCTGGGATTACAGGCGTGAGCCACCGCGCCCAGCCTCTGTCTGTATCTTTCAGGACACCATGGATACCCGGGGATCAGTCTTCCAGCCTTTCCAGCGGCCTGAGAAACCTGGTCGTGTCCGCCGTCGGAAGACTAGGCGGGAACGTAACAAGGCCCTGCTGGGCAGCCGCCGGCCATTAGCCCATCATGATCCTCCTGCGGCCATTCAGGACCCACCTGTGGACCCTACTGCCTCCAAGCTGGTGGTCATAACCCAGGGCCGGCTGAGCCGGGAGCACCGGGGTCTCTTCAACCATGAGGTGAAATCCCTAGATGTTGGAAGGCTGCTTACCAGTGGAACCCTGGCACCAGGCAGCCCCACACTCTCTGCCAAGCCCTCCCCAAGCCCAGGGAGGGCCCAGCAGCCAACCTCACAGTCCAGGGACAAAGAGAACCAGGTTCCTGGAGGTTCAGGCCCAGGCCCACCCAGTTCCCCAGAGTTGCCTGGCATGGGGCAACTGCTGGCAGAGCTGCAGTGCCAGCTGAGTTTGCCACAGGCCTTCCCTCGGAGGAACCTGGTTCAGGATGCCAGGGATGCCATCGTGCACACCTTGCAGGCCTGCCATGGTTGTGTGCCTGACCTTGCCCTGGTGCTCCGGGGCTGCCAGCCACCCTTGCCAGGTGAGCCTCCCTCTTTCCCTTGCACTCCCCTTTCCTTTGTCTGCTCTAGCTCACCTGGCCTCTGTGCTTCTTTCCTTTGTGCCAGGGGCCAAGTCTGGGAGCTCTGAGAGAAGGATGACACCCTTCTGGATCAATAGCCCTGATCGAGTCCCAGAAGAGGAGAGGCAAAGGAAGCAACAAGGGACAAAAGAGTTTACCTTCCCCATGCCCCACACCTCCAGCATACCCACTGTGCATAGGGGGAGCCTGGCACCGTCAAGAGGTCCCTGGCCACCCACCTTGCCCTCACTGTCTTCACCATTTGGGGCAGCCTGGGGTCCCCCAACAGCATTTGACTTGCTAAAAAGCATCTGGCTGGTAGCCACGCCACCCCCTCCTCGGTCCTGGGGTATTGGAACCCCTCAGCCCGTGCCTCAGCCTTCATCACCCCTGTTGCCCCGGACCTCTGTCCTGGACTGGAGCCCCAGCTCCCCTGCCCCGCTGCCCAGCCTCTCCTGGGTCGTGGCCCAGAGCAGTCCGGAAGCCTGGTCTTTTCCACCCATGAGACTGTATTGAGGAGGGGTTGAGGCTAGGGCTAGGGACAGATATCTTGTTCTCCCAGTGACCTCAATAAAGTACTTCTATGGTCCTTTTGATTTTCAGTGAGTTGCTGACCCAGGAGAGCAGCTTTCCTTAGCTCTGAGTTCTAGGTCCAAGGTGGAAGGGAAGGTACTGCCACTTGTTACCTTCATAGGGCCTGAGGAGCCAGTGTGATGGGGAAAACGTGGGACTTCAGTTAATCCAACACATAGTTACACTGTGGCTAACCCTGTACCTGACCTTGAGCTTTGGTGATCCTGAGGCCCCAGAGTGAGTGAGACCAAGGCCTTGTCCTCATGAGGCTCCCGGTTTGGTGGTGGGCATACACAACCTCAGCTCCAGTGGTTGTGTTGAGGAGAGTGAGAGAGGTGCAGGGGCTGGGGCAGTCCAAAGAGGGAGTAATGACTGCCCTAGTGAGGAGGAAATTCTTCATAGAAGAGCTGACACAGACTTCCTTCCCTTTCCTTTCCCTCCCCTCCCCTTCCTTTTTTCTTTTTCTTTTCTGGCAAAGTCTAGCTCTGTCACCCAGCTGGAGTGCAGTGGTGCACGCAATCTTGGCTCACTGCAACATCTGCCTCCCAGGTTCAAGTGATTCTCCCACCTCAGCCTCCTGAGTAGCTGGGATTACAGGCACTCACCACCACGCCCAGATAATTTTTGCATTTTTAGTGGAGATGGGGTTTCACTGCATTGGCCAGGCTGGTTTTGAACTTCTGACCTCGTAATCCACCTGCCTCGGCCTCCCAAAGTGCTGGGATTACAAGCACGAGCCACTGTGCCTGACCATTCTTTTCTTTTCTTCCTATTTTTTTTTTTTTTTTTTTTTTGAGACAGAGTCTTGCTCTGTCATCCAGGCTGGAGTGCAGTGGGTGTGATCTTAGCTCACTGCAACCTCCACCTCCTGGATTCAAGATTCTAGCGTTTCTTCTGCCTTAGCCTCCTCAGTAGCTGGGATTACAGGTGCACGCCACCACACTCGGCTAGTTATTGTATATTATAATGTATATTTAGTAGAGACAGGGTTTCGCCATGTTCATCAGGCTAGTCTTGAACTCCTGACCTTGTGATCTGACTGCCCTTTTTCAGAGTACAATGGCACAATCTTGGCTCACTGCAGTCTCTGCCTCCCAGGTTCAAATGATTCTCCTGCCTTAGCCTCCAAAGGAGCTAAGATTACAGGTGTGTGCCATCATGCCCTCCTGATTTTTGTATTTTTAGTAGAGATGGGGTTTCACCATGTTGGCCAGGCTGGCCTCAAACTCCTGATCTCAAGTGATCCTCCCACCTTGGCCTCCTAAAGTGCTGCAATTACAGGCATGAGCTACCGTGTTCTGCCAACCCTGTATTTTCCAAGGTTGGTGGAAACTTGCCACTTGAGGAAAAGAACATTTCAGCCAAGGGCAACAGCATGTGCAAGTCCTGGAGGAGGGCACATAGCAGATGTAGGGCCATTTTCACTCAGCAAATCCCTAGGCCATGCTGGGACCTAAAGTAAGCCACGTCTGGGCCTGCCCTTGAGCACCCCCTGGCCTGTGAGCACAGGGAACAGTGTATGTACAGGCTCAGGGCAGGAGTGGCAGATCAGGGCTGAATCTGGCCCACAGGCTTTTTTTCATTTCACCCACGATATCTTTTAAATGTTTGAATCAATTGCCTACTGTTATAAACCAGGCAGTTTGCTTTTTTTTTTTTTTTTTTTTTTTAAATTGCATTTCTGGCTTCTCTTAGAAAGAAAGAAAAAAAGAATCTGGCAGCAGAACTACAATCCTTCCTGGCAACCACTGGCCAAGTTGCACAGGCCCCCTCTGTGGGATCCACGCTCTGCATTAAAAATGTTTCACTTATATTTCCAGCTTGGCCCCTTGGCTCAGATTTTTTTCTTAAAATGGTATTTTGAGCAGCCCCCAGTTTTCTGCAGCAGAGAGGGATGAAGCTAGAAATGTTTGTTGGAATCTGATCAGGGAAATCAAAGTGTAGGGTGTGGCCTCTACTCTGAAAAGTCTTTCTAGGGCTTGCTGTTGTCCACTGAGAAACCATAGGGTTGATACCCGCATAGAGGGGACTGGACTGGGAGATCACAGGGCTGAAAGACTTAGCCCAGGTCTTATGGTGGACAAGTGACAAAGTAGGAACCAGGCTGGGATTTGAATGAACCCAAGTAAGTAGTTTTAACTTGGATTTGAAACATTCCTTTGGATATCTCACACTACCACCTCTGCGTCTCACAGCAACCCAGTTTCACAGCATGGTAAGCAGTGACAGGTCATGGTCAGGCAGAAGATGGGTACAGTGGTTATAGTGAGGGCTCCACCACCACCATGTGGTGTAACTCATAGAATGTCTTGCCCTCTCTGTGCCTCTGAGCACTTTGCACGGTGCATCAGATCTAGAATGCTGGCAACTCCAGGATGGACACAGCTGGGGATGGCTGAAATAGAGGTGGGGATGAGCAGTCAAATAGTTGGCCGGGCACGGTGGCGCATACCTGTAATCCTAGCACTTTGGGAGGCTGAGGCAGGTGGATCACCTGAGGTCAGGAGTTGGAGACCAGCCTGGCCAACATTGTGAAACCCCATCTATCCTAAAAATACAATAAATAAATAAATAAATAAATAGCCAGCTGTGGGCGCCTGTAATCCCAGCTACTCAGGAGGCTGAGGCAGGATAACCGCTTGAACCTGAGAGGCAGAGGTTGCAGTGGGCCCATATCGCGCCACTGCACTCTAGCCAGGGTGACAGAGTAAGACTCGGTCTCAAAACAAAACAAAACAAAAACAAAAAAACAAACAAACAAAAAAAACAGGCCGGGCATGGTGGCTAACGCCTGTAATCCCAGCACTTTAGGAGGCCCAGGCGCACGGATCACGAGGTGAAGAGATCGAGACCATCTTGGCCAACATGGTGAAAACCTGTCTTTACTAAAAATACAGGCCGGGCGCGGTGGCTCAAGCTTGTAATCCCAGCACTTTGGGAGGCCGAGACGGGTGGATCATGAGGTCGAGAGATCGAGACCATCCCGGTCAACATGGTGAAACCCCGTCTCTACTAAAAATACAAAAAATTAGCTGGGCATGGTGGCACGTGCCTGTAATCCCAGCTACTCAGGAGGCTGAGGCAGGAGAATTGCCTGAACCCAGGAGGCGGAGGTTGCGGTGAGCCGAGATCACGCCATTGCACTCCAGCCTGGGTAACAAGAGTGAAACTCCGTCTCAAAAAAAAAAAAACAAAACAAAACAAAAATTAGCTGGGCGTGGTGGTGCATGCCTGAAGTTCCAGCTCCTTTGGAGGCTGAGGCGGGAGAATCGCCTGAACCTGGGAGGCAGAGTTTGCGGTTAGCCGAGATCTCGCCTGCACTCCAACCTGGGCGACAGAGCGAGACACGCCTCAAAAAAAAAAATAAATAAATAAAAATAAAAATAACAGTTTTTTTTTAAATACAATGGTGGGAGGCCAGGACAGAGCATGGGTCTAGGGTTCCAGAGAAGGCAGTCTGGAGGATGCTTGGCTTTGGAAGACATGAGTGCAGTTTAGGACATGGAGAACCATAGGTATCTACGAGACTCCAGGAGGGGAGGGCTGGGGAGGCGTGACAGAGGATGTGCGTCTCCCTCCCACGCGGAGAAGGTGGGAGCCAGGTTGGGTCCTCCCGGAGGAGGGGGCGGGGAGCGCGGCACCCGGCGGCCCCTTTAATCGGGGGCGCGCGCTGGCCGGCCCGCGCGCTCTCGCCTCCGTCGCCGGGCCGGAGCGGGAGCCGGAGCGGAGCCGGGGCTGGAGCTGGCGGAATGGAGCCCCCGCGCGCGCCCGCGCTGCGCCGCCTGCTGCCGCTGCTGCTGCTCCTGCTGTTGTCACTGCCCCCCCGCGCCCGGGCCAAGTACGTGCGGGGCAACCTTAGCTCCAAGGAGGTGAGCAAGCCGAGCCTTCCCCTGCCGCCTGCCCGCCCTCGGTGGACGCGAGCGAGGCGAGGGGAGCGGGTACCACCCCGCCCCCTGCCGCCCCTCCTGGCGGACCCTGGAGCTTTGGGGAAACGGGGCCGAGGGCGATGGGGGACTGGGCCAGAGTCCAGGCTGAGGGACCCGTGGGGTCACGGCCAGACCTGGGGGTTGTAGGAGGGACGTTGAGGTCAGAGCTGAGCAGGGAGGGAGAGCTGGTTGGGAGAGTCAGAGTTTGGGAACGGGGTGGCGCAGAGGTGGTGCTGAAGGGACAGCACTTTTCACTCAACAGAACCCCGAGCCTAACAAGCTCACCGCCACACTCCCGCTGAGGACCGGGAGGGGGCCGTTTGGAAGATTCCCCTGTGCGGGATGGTCTTTGGGAGCAAGGGGTGGGGTGCGGGGGAGTGTGGCTATTGGGGGAATGGGGTCAGATGGTGGCCAGGACACGAAGTGGCCAGGTTGGGCATCTGGCCCCCAGGGTCTTTCTGGGGGCTCCTGGAAAACGTGGGGAGGAGTGTTTGAGAGGAGGGGAGGAAACTTGGGGGGGCAATGGAGGGAGAAAATCAGGGCGGCAGGAATCCTGCACCCACAGTGACGGGATCAGGGAAGGATTTTGGAGGTGACCTGGTCTCCTTCTAGTACTTGGGAAGCCAGGTCCCTGGCGGGTAGGGAAGAAAAGTTGGGAGTCTATGGAGTAGACAGTTCTTGAAGGACTCAGCAGAGGGTCGGACTGGGCCCCCTTTTCAGGACTGGGTGTTCCTGACAAGATTTTGTTTCCTCTCGGATTACGGTCGACTGGACTTCCGTTTCCGCTACCCTGAGGTGAGTCTCCCCCAACACTCGCTGTGCCGAGGCTGGGTACTCCCTTGGCCTCCAAAGGCACAGACTACCCCGGCTCCTGGCCCCCGACATCTCTGGTCTGCAGGCCAAGTGCTGTCAGAACATCCTCCTCTATTTTGATGACCCATCCCAGTGGCCAGCTGTGTACAAGTCAGGGGACAAGGTGAGGGCTGTGAAGAGGATTTAGAGGGAGAGGGGAGAAGG